AAAATTTTTCAACACTGCGAATTAAAATTTACAAAATAAAAAATGCTATTTATTAAAAAATTAATTTTTATTTAATTCTAAAAAATTTGTACAATATACAATCTTATAAAAGAAAATATACAATTTTATAAAAAGTTTCTTAAATATCGCGCTATTTTTATCAATTTAGTAAAACTAAATTTTATTTTGGTCAATAGATGACAGGATTCTACTTGCCCGTAGCAAGAAGAGCGATAGTATGCAACAAGAAATAAATACACATGCCTCGTCTGTATATATTTTTTGTAATCAGAAAGTGTGATAAAAAGAATAATAATTAGTTTCATTTTCTCACTGCTACAAGGCATTAATATTTTAATTGATCAAATTTTCATTTACAAAAAATACTAATTAAAATTTTGATTTATGAAATTATAATTCTATAATTATGTTTTTCAAATTAGACCCTCAACTTCCTTTCTATAATCTATTCAATTTTTGATAAAGATTTACAAATTCTAGAACTACATTTAAAAATTGATTCGAAATTGGGCATAAACATAACTGATCAGAACTGATGCTTTCAACATACAATTAATTGCATGAAATATGAAATTTATACTTTGTAATTGTAAGTCTGAAATTTCAAACGAGGGTTTCAACATTTTCGAATTACTTTCGAAGTCGGTATTTCAGAACGTGAGACATGAAGTTCTGTATTATATCACATCTATCCTACCTTTAGTCAATGCTTTATATCATTCATTTCAATTCACGATTGTATAGACAGTATGCGGCACGTACATTCGTAACTATAGTGCGAGTGTGATTCCACTTCCAGTGAAATCATTTTGTCCAGTGTTGCTTCATATAGTAGAAGAATGATGTGCACGAGGATGTAGTTTCTTCCATATATATATATTTTTAATTATATTCACGTTCTGCTGCAGTGTCAGTAACTGTGAAATAATCTTCAAACTTTTGTATAATAGCCACAAGAATTCCGAAATATGCAGTTTTTTCTTTTAAACAATTGAAATTGCTATATGTTCTTGTTAAAGATTACTTGCAAGTAGAGTGAAAGTTATTCGTGTCTTTGACCTAATTCAATTCTTTATGTCCCTTGGGCATAAATGTGTATTTGCAACATTCCAAAATAAGATAAGCTTGTTATATAATAATTATTGTTGATAATATTATATTGTAATTAACATATGGAAAGTATAGTATTTAAATTATCACAATGACAAGCACAAATACACGTGATATAATTCGAGTTGGATCTCGGAAAAGCGAGGTAAATGTATAAACATGTAAATCTTTTATAAGATAAAGGAAAGTATGAATTTGCATTAATTAATATATTAAATACAAAGTATAGCATTAATTAATGCGCCAAAAATTTTATACGTTCGAAAATAGTAATAATAATAATAAATAAATGCGGTTTGCGTTTATGTTTAAAAATACAAAAAAAATATTTTTATTATAATTGTATCGTAAAATAGTACTTTTCATTCACTTTAATTGCAATGCTTGATATGAATGTCATAATATGTGATTTGTAAGATATTGTGATTATTCTTTCTGACTCTACATTAGTCAGCAGTTTTTAACATAGTATTTTAATGCCTTATATGTTAGTATATATTTG